TTTTTTTAAATTGATTAAAACTCTTTTGTTAGAAAATTAATTATTAAAGAATGAAAATTATAAAAACAGTGAGGAGTCTTGAGCTACAGGAGATGGGTGGGTCTATGGGGCCGTGTCAGCCAAGGCTCGTGTCTCTCTATTTCAGTACCACGCCAAGTCATGGAGAAGGAGGAAAAAAAACGGACGTAGCGCACGGCCAAGGGTTGCGAAAGTGAGAGAAAGATTTTTGAATAAGGATATTAGCAGTGTTTTATTTTTTCAGTGTCAACAACATACGTCACCATTATCCATAGAGTCCAAGCCTCACTTTCTGTCTTCCTTCTTGAATGTTTTTTTGTTGCAAGACAATGTTTCATATTTCTTTTGGAAAGGTTGAACATTATAATCCTTTTATAATTATAGTATCTATCCATTTCTTTCTCCAGCCTTTTTAGGGAACACCAAGGCGTTCCCAGGCCAGCTGAGAGATATAATCACTCCACCATGTCCTAGGTCTACCCTGGGGCCTCCTCCCAGTTGGACATGTCTGGAATAGCTTACCCAGGAGATCTCCAGAAGGCATCATAGTTTACCTCAACTGGCTCCTTTTGAAATGGAGGAGCAGCAGCCCCCTTCTGAGCCCCTGTTGGAAGGCTAAACTCCTCACCCTATCGCTAAGGGAGAGGCCGGCCAGCTACCCTTTGGAGAAAGCTCATCATGTGGATAGTAAATGCCAGCGATTTAGCCAACAAGTGACAGTAAAAATGGGCAAGAGAACACAGGCCAAACAGCTAAGACAATGAAGTACAACACACCAGACCATGCAGCCATTACAGGCACAGGTGCAGACGATACAACAAGCTGGTCTAAGTATACAAAGCTATAAGTATAGAGAGAGCAGCGGCAGCCAAACCATACCAGCGTCCCCGCTGTGCAGAGTGGGGTTTAAAATCTCAAAAACCTTTGTCTACAAAGAATTGTACAAAATGCATATCCAACTAAAAAATATGAATTTCTGTCTGTCGATTTAGAGCTGTGTCAGAGTTAACAGATATCAGTATCGCAGCTCACAGACAAATTTGTGACTACAACAGCAGCTGGCGTCGTGGTCTCTGACTTTTTTCAGCAGCAACCTCAGCAGAGTTAAATCCTCTGACAGCAACAAGGAACAAAAGAGATGAAAATTACAGTGATCCTATTTTAATAAAGTAAATCAATAAAAGGAGGAATCCCGTGGTTCTTAAGAATCTATATATGACATAGAAATGTAGTTTTTCCACTATGGACTGTGAAAGAACTATAGAGGCTCTCGCTGTTTGCAGACTGATGGAGCTTCAATGTTTCCTAATGAACTTTTTCCAGAACACTTTGAGGTAACTTGACAGAAACACACTAAACTAAAATCCTGCCTCTGGCACCAGCCTTTCAGGTCCACTCAGACCTGACATAAATGTCTTCATCACACGGTGAAGAAGTATAACAGCAAC